TCTGTCCTCACTTGGTGTCCCCCAAATTGAATCATTTCTGGTTCAATTTCTATACAGACTTGATCTTTTGTTTTAGTTGTTCCTTACCTCATCTCTGGTTTTGCTTGTGTATGTATTGTGTGTGTATGTGTGTTTCCATTTCTGAGCCTTTTTGGTTGTTGTGGCTGCAATACATTTCCTTCATACTGACATCTTGCTCGATAGACAGTTAATATTGGATTGCATGGTTTTGTCAATTTCACCACCTTCTTTCCAACACCTAAAAATTGTGTTGTCTCTTCTCATATACCAATTTTTTCTTCTTGTTTTCTTGATGGGTTCATAGCGTTTTAGTTCCTTTGCTGTTGCCTGAGGAAAGGAGCCCTGCTGATGTTGTTGGGTAAGCATGGGACTGCTGATTGCAATCTGGGCAGTTGAAACCTACCAGCCACTCTGCAGAAGATGCTGAGGAAACCCTATATAAGTCTCTATATAAGTTGTAATTGACTTGAGGGTTTGTTTTTTGTAGTGGATGGGGGTGGTATATTAATAAGGTTTTAGAGTGGTACAAAGGTAAACATGTATTCCACCTATTATATTTAACTAGAAGTCATAATAAGTGATTTAACCTGTGAGTCTCAAGCTAGGCCTTTATATATCATGTACAGTTTTTTATGCCATATTTGGTTGATACCTGTACTATAGCTTAATGTTTTTCTTAAATGACCTAATGTTTTAAGCTAAATTTAAATAGGATAATTATGTTAATAATAGAGAACAATTAGTCTCATATGATATCAGTAGAAGATAACTAATTTTTTACTATGTGCATTGAGATATATCCATAGTCAATAATATAAAATGATTGTTTGAATGCCACTTAAAATCTTCTTTCAAAGTATTATAATGGGGCAGAGAGAAGAATTTATGTACAGATCAGACCCTGGCTAAGGAAATTGTTATAGGTTTGCTTTGACTCTTTATTGAACATCCATTGAACATTTAGAAAGTGCTAGATTCTGAGAATACAGAGATGAATAGTCCTTGCCCCCCAGCGTCTTTTAATCCCCTGGTTTTGTGAAAGTCAGTGAAGAAAAGTGTTCCTAGCTGATATAGAAGGTTCAATAGGAACTTGAAAGAAGAAATGGTCAATTATTGGGTATTAAGAAACGCTTTTGTGAGGAGGTGACACTTCATTTGACTCTTAACGGATTAATAAGTGAGGTGAGGTGGAGGACAGGCTTTTTTCTGGAGGAAGTCTTCCTAGATGGAGAAGTTAGGTGAGCAAAAGAAGACATTAAATAATAAATAGTTACAAGGAAAGGGGTACTAAAGGAGACTGGACAGAAATGAGGCTGGAGTGTGCGATCACAAGGGTCGAGGGATCAAGTATCAGGCATCAAGAAAAAAAAATCTTATCATTGTGTGTTCCTCTTCTCAATATGATCGCTGAAGACAAATGTGTGCATAAGCAAAT